CCAATATTCGCGCGGCCGAATCGCGTCTGTAGGGGTCGGCCGTAGTTGTACGACCTCGTGTTGTCGTTCACCTGGTCGAAGCCGGCCAGGTCCATGCTGGAAACGCCTGAAAAAAAATCGGTAGCTAGGAAATGATAGTTCTACGCATTTAAAGCGGCTTGCAGGGACACTTTTAAAGGAGCTGTTAATACATGGCGATGGATTTTATAAAGGTACGGAAACCTTCTGGAACACTCGCTCAGTGGTTGTAATGCATTACGCAATGTAAAGGCGCTCGGACGAATTGCGTGTCGCGGCGCCTTTTTAATAAAAACTCGATACCCAGAATCCATAGAATATACAGGGTGTCCCTAAGCCCCCCCCCCTCCGTCTAGCCGGCCGCAGACGTTTCCGATTTCTACGATTTAGATATCTATTGAAAGAACTCGGAAATGCGATTCCAGTACGTTACTCTGATTTTTCACATTTCGGAATCTTTTGCCCGGTTTCGGGCAAATTTCATACGAAAAGGGCACGCTTTCGGCAAAACTTGAATTTAACCGGTTTAAGCGCTACGGCAACTGTGTTTTCGTAAAAGACATTCAAGTAGCTGTCGTTAGGAAAGCTACCAGCTTTTAGCTTCTCAGTGCGCTGCCTGGAAAGACCCAAAAATTTTGAAATTGCAATTGTTGTAAAAAAACCCTTGGTCAGAAAAACATCGGAAAACCGCCCGTTTCGCAAAAATATTACTAAATCTTGAAAAAATATTGCAAAAAATTTGGGGATCGGGAGACGTGCTGGACTCGCCTTTCCGAGAGCTCTCGCTAGATATGCAAATCGTAAGAATCGGACACGACTGCGGCCCGCTGGAGGGGGTCGGGCGGTGATTTTTTGGGGAAACCCTGTAAGTCATGCCTTATCCACTCCCATTAAAGACAAGCGAAGCGTGAAAAGCCAAGTAGCAAGCAAGAGCGCCAGAATGGCTCAAAAATCTATAGGCTTACATGCGCCAATTTTGCACTATTATTACCTGGTACCGGCTCAAAAAGTTGCCTGGGTAGATCTGGAAATCGTGTTTTTCCAGGGTATCTTTTAAGGGTTTTAAAGGTTTAAAGATGAAATTACCTTACATCCGCAATTTTCGGTTTTTGTTTTTTTTAGCGGGGGGAGGGTGGGTTTTCTGGGGGAGTTCACGGGAAAACCCTTCCTCCCCCCGCTAACAAACCAGTGCCTCCTTTTCAACTTACTAAACAGTGGCCTGCCATTGCCGCCACGAAAAGCGAGGACGGAGCCGAGGAGCAGGAAGAGCATCATCAGAATCGCCTTCAGCATTTTGGCCTACCTAAAGGGACAATGAAATCAAGGTTCACACATCGGAGATCGAAAATATTACTCAAAGCAACTGAAACTATTCCCCGAAAAGTACCAGCAAATAGCAAATAGTTTTACTAAAAACAACGCGGTTTTAGAAACAAATTGGCAACTATGAAAGTTTGGTCACTGGGTCCTCTAAGGAAACCAATGAATTCCAGGTTGTCAAAGACGAGGCCACTCCCAAAGGAGCGACGCTGAACGGAACGGCTACTTGTCGAAAATCAAATTTCATGGAGAAATTAGGACCTAAAAAGGCACCCGGTTTTCTCCCAGCCGATCAGACTGCTCCTCAATTTACGGGCAACGGTTCTAGTTGTAACCAGATGCCCACCGGACCCGACCGGATCCCAGCGAACCCCGGAAATCTTGGCTTTCGCCGACGCAGTGCAACGCAACACGAACATAAACGTCCGTAGTATTTCTTCTATGATATTTTTTTGGGGTGAAAACGAACTTTGTAAACCCTGCATCGATTCTTGAAACCCAGAAAGAACGACAAAAAAGATTTCTTGCTATTTGCGAGCGTGAAATTACCGCCGCAACGTGAAAATTTCTGAATTCTTCTAGAAAGGATATTGGACGTGAAACGAGACTTTGATGTTGCGCCGTGATTTGTAACTAAAAAGAAATGGCGCAAAAATGCTTCTAAGTATTTACGCGCGCAAATCATGTTAACCACATCAAAAAAAAAGTTCCGAATCCTTCGAAAAGGATTTTCGGAGTGAAAAACACCTTTTTAACGCCGCGCAGATTCTTTGAGAACGAAGAAAAAGACTTACAGAAAAATGGCTAAAAAGTTTGTTTCTTTCTGGAAGAGGCTTTTTCTTAAAAGGTTTTAAAAGAGCTAAAAGGTTTTGATTATTGCGAGTGCGAAACGCGGCCGCGACACGAAAAAAGCTTTGATCCTTCTAAAAAGAGTTTTCGGTGAGAAAATGGCTCTTTAAAGGTTGAGTAGCTACTTTGATAACTAAAATAAACGCCAAAATAAGATTTATCTATTTAGCTGCGCGAGCACGAAACCAGGAACCAAAAGATGCCTCCTTGCTTTCCAGCAGCCCATCCGGAATAACCAAGTTGCCCGAAAGGAATCGATGATTATGATGATCTCTACTGCTATAAATAGATCTTTTAACGTTAGTGGCAGAAAAATAGGGCCCAGTAACCTCCCAGGGCGATAAAAATGATCCCGGAATCCCGGCGCAGCTTTTACCGGGCCCCGGTGCTTCGAAAAAGCCCTGCCGGCACAGCTTTATAATCTAAAATTCGTTCCTTGTCATTTCCGGCGACGGGGCGTCTCACCGCTCCTTGCTGTGCTGCGGCTAATTCTCCAAAGTGCAACATTCGCACATTGGTTTACCACTACGAGCACCGCCGGCTGAACTCGAGGGCACGGCTCAAGATTTCCCGAAAAAACCTCTGTGTTTGCGGGGTCTTTTGGGGAAAACCACGGCGCATTTCGTGGAAAACTTCATGCTTCACGCCCACGCTTCAATCGCAGAACCTAAAAGCAATGATACTTTCCAAACTCGGACCAGGATGAGTCTAGTTGCCCCAACGGTGGTAAAAGCGGTGGTGTCGTCGGGGTTTCCGGTCGGGAAGCTTTTCGCGCACGGAATTTTGCGCTGGTTCCGAATATTTTTACCAAAGTTAGGGGACGACCCACGACAGGGAAAGTCCAAAATGCGCCGCTTTCAACGGTTTCCCCCGATTTAAATAGTTCATTACTTTCGGAAAGTCGCGATCCTGCAAGTGTTGTAAACAGCTTCGCAATCAGCGGAAAATTCGACACAAGCTAAGCTGGGCCTGGCCCCAGTTGAAACCTGGAAAAACTGAAAACTGTCTGTTAGTCCGAATTTGCCACCGTTAGGGGCACAGAAATACAACTTCAGGCTAAAAACTACGAGCTACAAGAAGTGAAAGCCAGCAAACCCCACGAAAAACATCTTTCCGGGGTCGTTTTCACGCTGACACCGAATCTAACAAAGTCGCCATTATCACGTTTTCGCGGTTGGCGACGAATGTGAACCGTATTTGGGTTCGGCGTGAAAAACGCCCCCCGCGGCGCGTTTTGCGGGTTTTGGTGAGGTTAGGCTTCTTTTCGTTTAAAGCCTAAAGTTAAATTTTCGCTTTAAAAGCCCCCAAATTCCAAGTCGGCACTAAAAACCACCATATTCTGGTGCCACCAAAATGCCAAAAATAAATAATATGTATTCTAGCAAAGCACAGCGCGAGGAGGGGGTAGGGTCACAGGGTTGGGGTCAAGGAGGAGCACCGTTGGAAGGTCCAGAAAATGAGCTCAATTTACAAAGCAAACCTTAAAAAAATTAGAGTTTTAAAAGGTTTAAACCGAAAAAGTCCAAAATTGAAAAATTCGCAAAGTTGAGCCGGGGAAAAATCAGGGCAGGCGGCAGTGTAGAAAGCACACAAAAAGCTACAGCGCTGGAATCACATATCGGAAAAGGAGATCCAAAAAATCACAAGCTTCAGGGTGAAATGGCGGGCGTACCGAGCACGGGGGGGAAATGTATAAAAGGCGTAAGCAATCAACTTTCAGCCCAATTGGACGGCGGCGACGCCGTTGGCCAGATGAGCTTCGCGGGTCAGCTCGATGAGTTGCCTGGAAAAAATATACAGAATCTACCCAAAAAAATCCCCCTCTAGCGGTCCCCAATCAGGTCCGATTTTTACGATTTAGGTATGTTGTCTACAGTAGTTCTCGGCGGCTAAGGCGATATGTTCTCTTCCGATTTTCGAAATTCCCCGAATTTTTAGCCCGATTTTCCTCGTTTTGTGTGCAAAAATTACAGATTTTTCTCCAAAAACCTCGATTTAAATCGGTTTCAGCCCGATTCAAGTTGTGTTTTCTCAAATGGTTTTCAAGAAGCTGCTCGGGGCCGCAAGGAAAAGCTTAAAAATTTGAAATGAATGAGGTTTTTGTTAAAAAACCCTTTCCTTGGGGACAGCCTCTACATAAAAATGTACAACTTTGCAAAAAACACCTATCCGAGCCGCGCTCTATCTTTCGATAGGAAGGCCGGATCGGGCTCGGAGCTATATAATGGAAAGCCCAGAAAATGGCGGGCTTGCATTAGTCATGATAATTCGGATTTTTCTTTACCGCGACATGTTATAACCTATTTAAAAACGTTAAGAAAAGCTTTCTATATAGGCAATTTAAGGCACAGCCCCTATGCAACTTCAAGAAAAAACGTCACAAAAGTTCAAGCTAATCTGCATGAAGGGTGCAAACCCACGATTTCCTGAGCTTTCGCACGAAGTAACTACCATTCTGAGCTCGCGACAGATGTAATATTTACAAAATTGAAGGTATCAAAATCACCTTCGTAATGACAGTGCCTTGCTCTCCAGCTGGCGCTCCTTCAGGCGCCATTGGGCCGCAGCCTCGCGAATTGCGTTGACCTCGCTCCAGTCGCGTTGCCAGCGTAGGAAGAGGCGCTCCCAGATTTGCTAAACCAACGAATTATGCCAATAAGCCATTTTTTTAATTATTGAAAATCCCAAGGGTCAGTTTCGGTCGATTTTTGGTCTAGAAAACGCTATTTCGCAAGACAATCAGATACAGAAAAACGTAGCGTAACGTCTTTCTAGCGTGTTTCTCATCAGGTCAAAACCGCAAAAACAATTTTAGAAACCCGATTTGGCTAGCTTTGGCCAATTTTTTTGGGGGTTGGGAGGTATTAGGGAAATGATCCGGGTTCCAAATTAGGTATTGTCCAAAACCTCGCTCAGATGGCGTAAACTGGGTCAAAAAAAAACTGTGCAAACGCCTCGGGCTTCTTCGGTTCTGCACTGTCAGGGGGGGGGGGGTTTAGCAGGGGAACAATTTTCTGTTTTTCCACCAGTTGATGATACGTAATGCATTCAGTTTTTGAGTTCTAGAACGTTACAAAAAAAAAGTTTTTAAAAATTCTGAAAATTCAAAAGTTTTTATTATTTTTTTATAATGTTTTTCTATCCAAGAACTATGGAAAATGCTAAAGAAAATGGTTTATATTTTGTTATAAAACAGTAGAGGATCATAGGGAGAAATTTGCCTTCTCTCCCCCCGCTAACAGTCCAGAACCGCTTCTTCAAGTCTTCGCGGTCTCCTAAACTCACAATGCTCTGCGGCGACACGCTGGGCCACAGCACCGACTCGTTCGGCTCGTACAGTGTGTTCACGTAGCCCTTCAGAATTTCCGGGTTGTTGACGTAGGACCAGAGGGAGACGGTGTGCTTCTTCACGTTGTGCTTGAACTTCTCCTAAACGGACAGGATGAAAAATTATGGAAATCGCCAACCATCTCGTTGTTCCCCAGAAACGAGCCAAACTCTGAGGCGTACGAGTGCTCGAAGAGGTCGAGCAGGAAATTCTCGGTGAACTCGAACGAGTGCGGGAACTGGGCGCACATCTGAAATGAGAAAAGTGGAGGGTTCTTTGGCGTTATCGGGGGGGAATCAACTTTTTCCTGGGATCCAATTTTTGAAAGAACAAGAGCGAAGGTGTTTCTAAACTGTTTTATACTATTCTAAAACGTAAAAATTTTACAAACTTTTGTAAACAATACCAAAAATATACTTTTTTCGACCAAAATGGTCGATTTTAGGGCCAAAAATTTCGAAGAATTTATGAGAATGATTTTTAGTTTAGAAAAGAATTAACTTTTGGCCTTTTTGAAAGGTTTTAGAGTTTGTAGCTTATTAAAAACGCTAATGTCAAATTCTGTAAGATCAATTTTTACCTGCCACACACAATCCAGGAAGGCCAGGAAGACGGGCGATTCGTACGGGCCTGTGATGGCACCCTCTGCGAACGCCGAGTGAGCATTCCGCAACCCAAACGGATGTCCTCCAGAGATCCACTCGCGCTCGATCACCGACTCGAACCTAGAATTGGCAATAAAACGAGTCGAAATCGCATAAAGTACCCTCTAATCGTTCTCGCGTCCGGATCGAGCAGAATCTGTGCCAATGCCGTGACGAAAAGCGTCGAATCGACGCCCTCGCCGCCGTGGACCACCACCGGGACTTCTAAAAAATAAAGCTCAAAACTAAAAGGGCAAACGAAAATGGCCACTAGGACTAGAACTAAAAACTAATCAGCCAAATTCAATCGCAGCCAAATTCCAAGGCCGAAAAAGGAAGCAACAACATTGCGATTCGGCTTTTCCAAGCGCGCTTCTTTCCCATTATCGGGGGATCAACTTTTTTCTAAGGATCCATTCTTAGTATAAATCAACTCAACTCTCTAAACTTTTTACTGTACTTGAATGGTCTAGAAAATTTTATCAATATATAATACAAAAAAAAAATATAGTTTCTGGCCAAAACTGGACGATTTTCACCCAAAATTCCAAACAAAAATTTATTTCGTAGTTTACTATATAGGAAAAAACTGACCCCCGATAATGCGCAAGAACCCGGAGCACGCAGCGTGCCCTTGCAAATGATAAAAGCAGTCAACCACCAGGTGTCTGTCACTACGCACCTGAACTACCTTCGCAGGCCACGCATTGCGCCACGTTCGCCGCCGCGTTCAGGTAGTCGGCCACTGAGGATAGCCAGCCGGCCGACCCGATCTTCGACATCCAGCGGTCCGACGAGACCGACCGGTCCAGGCATACTGGAAAATAGTGCTTTGGTCATTTTTCATACACTCTTAGCCAAGAATTAACATTTCTCGAAAATTTCTCTAAGTTTTAATGAGCTTTTCATATCTAAAAACTGCGCAAAATTCCGTGAAAATCGTTAAGAATTTGTCATGGGGCCGTGCTAATTCTCCGGTACCAAATATCTTGTAGCAACAAAACAAAAACACTGACCCGTATTTCGTTATGCGAAACTCCAGGTCGCTGGTGTGGTGAATATGCAAAGCCGAGAAAGACGGGAGTGTGGATCGGTTTGGTCGGGTTTCTCCTGTTTTTCTGGCAAATCAATTGGGTGGTTTTCTGTCGAATCAGCCAGTCATCATCCTTTTTCGCTAGCGTCTCGGGTCAGCATAGCACGGATGTGGAGTGTTTTAAGTTTTTAGTGCCAAGGTAGTTCATGCCTCAAATAGAAAAAATTACAAAAGGTTCGAACAACCATAGAAAACCCACGAAAATTTCGTCATTTTGCGCCGCCCAAAACATCAAAACCTAAACATTGATTTTTTTTTACTTTGCCGTTTTTATGCTCAGTAATGGCTAAGAATACACTTACAACGATGGGTGCGTCCAACTTATCTAACAAAACTAGGGGGTTGTGGCGAAAAAGGGTGGGTCCCCGACAGCTAAAGTCAACCGGAAATGCCTCCGGGTAATGATTGCCGAGCGTAACGAAATTTCTGCGTAATAAACAAACTGAAGCGCATAACGTTGATAGGTTCGTAAAGAATATCTCGGCCCACGTACTATCAACCATTTTTGCCAGCGAATCGTGTAAATCCTTGATCCTGGGCGAGGCACAGTTGAAATAACGCCATTGGGAGTGAGAATTAAGAGCACCCTCAGTTGCCAGTACCTAAAAATAACAGCTCATCCCTTCAATTTAAAGAGAAAAAAATCGCACTACGGGCAGTTTTTCAAGTCCGCAAAATAAATAACTAATTCCCAGTCGTGTCACCTACAAAAACAAGAAGCTCTCACCTTTGGCCTTGGAAAGTGCGGCCTGCTGCTTGCCCCGGGTGTCGATGATGATACCGCGGGAGTCGCGGTGAACGCGTTTATCGTCTGTTCTCTTGCACCGTCGATTCGTCGGCCTGATCAACGGTTGGCTGGGGCGGATTACCATACTGGCGACTGAAAATTTATAAAAATTTTTATGAACTGAAAAAATTGCAAACTTCAATAGATTTAGGCAAAGCCGGAAATTAAAAGTTGTCCAAAAAAGGGGTGTTCGATTTTGTGTTATTTAGGTCTAAATCGAATGCTCGCGGAAAGCTAAAAGCTAAAGGTTCGCTATCTCGATATTTTCTCCCCAATTTTGGAATTCGCATTTTCCGCAGTTTTCAAAACTTCCCATCTTCCCAAAAATGCAAAATGACAGCCGCCAATTTTGCAAAACGTGGTATTTTTGAGCGGCGGAAAAGTCGTGACAATTCGGCGTGTTTCCCGAAATTAATTTAATATCACCGTTTACACTAAAAAATCAGACAAAACAAGATATATTCTTGTTTTGTCCTTTTCGTGAGCTTTCGATTTTTACATTTCATAAAACCTGGATCTGAAACTAGTCAATGTCAAGTCAAAGGAAAGTACAATCTGAAGTCTGCAACAAAAAATGGCTTCGATCAAGACAAAAATCAACTTCCAAACACACCTTCGTAGGTTTATGAAAATACGCCAACACCGGAAATCGGCTGCCATCACGAAACGTTGCGCTTATCCGTCGGGTAATCACGCCAGAACACTCTAGGCACGACCACTTTTTCCGGGTAGGACGTGCGCACACCTAAAATGCTCTCAAAGACTTCCACGTTCAAAAGACCTTAAAATCCTTGTTGACCTCGGATATCCGGTAGAGCTCGGGGGCGCAAAGCGAGATTCGCGAGAATTCCGTCTCCACGTCGAACGCGTTCCAGCCGTCGTCGAGCACGGTAAACGGGGCGCGGTAGAAGAACGGGTAGTCGAGGGAGAAGCCGTCTAAACAAGTCATTCGGTTCTGGACAGTTAGCGGGATGAATTTTTCTGCCCCAGCCCGTGTGCCAGCCCCACAATCAATAGAAAAACTTTTATAGCATTTTATGACTATTTACGATCAAGATAAAAGCCATTTTTCTTGAATGTTACACTATTCTAATAAAAATAAACCAATTTTAAAGCATTTGCACCACCGATGACCGAAATGAGCTTTTGTTCTAGCATTTTACACAGCCGAGAATCAGCATAAATCTAATTTAAAGCATTTACATTACTTAAAATCAAGATAAACCCCTTTTGTAGCATTCTACGCTCTTTCTCGATATCAAAACTCCTAAAACATACATAATTTTTTCCAAAATTTTTTGACCTTGTCCGAAAAAGGCATGAAAACCGAAAAACGAAAGGCCTAAGAATAAAAAACCCACTAAAAAATTCAAAACCCAATATACTAGTGCAATGCTACGTTTCACCCCCCAAAAACTCCAGTACTGGTGCCTAATCCTCCGGGCGGACCGGGAAAATGCAAAGCAGCTAACTCACTCAGATTACTCGAGTTTCTATCGTCCCTCACGCCAGAGCACTCCTCAAAATCCGCAACCCTGAAGACGCATCTGTTACTAAATAAATTTTTCTTAACTTTCTAACTTTTTCTTACATCATGAAATTCTTGCACTTTAGCGTCAAGAAGTTTCCTTTCATTTTCGGGTCCTGGGATTTCGGCTCGCAGACGACACGATCGATCGCGCGGTGGAGTAGAAGCAAAAACTGAATATTACCGCGAATACAAAATCATGGCTGTAACCACTAATTCGCAAAAACCTCACAAAAAACTCGTCCTTAGTTCGTTCTTACCGGCGCCCTGCGGCGTTTCCACTGGGGGCGGGAAGACTAGATGGTGGCCTATAATGAAAAAAATAATGGAAACAAACGCTGATTGAACGTAACGCATAGTAAGAACACCAATGAGTTCATTTAAAGTGGCTGGGGCCCTGCCTGAGTGCGAAGACGCTGCTGACCCGTGGTATTTCGATGGCGTCAATTCAGTCTAGCATCCTTACCCGAACAGTTTTTGTCACATTTTCAAGACCAGAAAAAAGAGAGAGAGGAAAAACGAAGTTTCGAACGGTTCTGTCCGCCGGAAGCTTGTCGGGGAAAGTGCACCGAATTCGCGCCAAAAATAAGTCAAACGGGGATAACCTGACACGCAGATTCCTAATCTGTTGTGAGAGCAGGATCTGGAAAGGACAAGAAGGTTATGATGCTGAAAAGCTGGCAAAAATGCCAAAAAACGCATCTTCAATGGCCCTGTAAAAAATTAGAGGATGGAAATTAGCAAAATCGAACAAGTGCCTTCTTGCCCAGGAAAACATTCTCTTCGAATTGTATTGACGCCAACGAGTTGGATCAAAGTCTCCCACCCAGAGTTTTTTAACGTTGAAACGGTAATTAAAATGTGGTTCTTGTGACACCCAGCCTTCTGCTTTCCGGTCATAAACAGCCAGCATTCAAATTTTTAACCTAACAAAAAGAAAGCGCTTGTTTGCTCGCCGCTTCAAGAGCTATCGAAAGCCAACAAAATCGCAGAGATTTCGAAGATTTTACGGATAACGCTGTCGCGTGGAGGTAGCGATAGGTGGGTATCCGGCAGCTTTTCGAAGAAAAGTTATCGCAAAGAGCCGCAAAAGTTCGCGGACCCGCAACAGAAAACAGCGCTTTAATCTTCGCGCGAGAAATTGCAACTAAGCTTACCGCCTGTAAACCCGTTCAAGTCAATCGTCGGCTGGCGATTTGCCAGCTCATCACTCCCCGCCTGCCACCCTCTCTCGATTCTCATTTCCCGCCAGAGTGCCTGATGACAGCCAATCCTGAAAACTAAGCCGCGCTGAGCAAAAACGAGCTGAGTGATGCCAAGTTTTTTAGAAAACACGAAAACAGTATTGGTAATAATGTTATGTCGTAGCTTTACAGCTAGAAAAATAGTTCCAGCAAGGGAATGCAAATCAGTGGCGCCAAAAAAATGAGCGGAGATCATGATCTGGAAAAAAGTGTGCACGTAAATTGGCTTGACGGCCGAAAAAAGTTGCGGCAGTTTTTATTGGGGATGTAATGACCGGTAATGAATAGATCATGTGGGGAAACAGAAAGGAATGTACAAAAGTTAGGCGGCTTTGGGCAGCAACAGCCTTCGTAGGTCGTCGCCCACTTCCCTTCGGAGAGCGCCTCGTCGTGATATTCCCAAACAGATAGTTTGTTTCGGAGTTTATCGGCTAGCAGGAAAATTGCGGGAACC